TCTTTTTATCTGAGAAGACAAGGAAATAAACTGCGTTCAGTCCAGTAGAGATTAATATGAGCTCTGATTAGTCAGTGGACAGCTTGTCCTGCATCCTTCCTTCATTTAACACAACACATAATTAGTGTTGTACTTTGTGTACAGCTGTCAGGTTTTTAGTAGTTTTCTTTTTCAGTGTGTTTCAGATGCATCTTCCAGTGGATAAAAAAAAGAAATTAGTTAGTTAAATTAGTGCAATTGAATGAAAAATTAACTTTTATCTTTTTCCTCTAATCTTCTGTCTTCTCAGGCGTTCTTCAAAGGGAAACTGAAGATCTCTGGGAACATGGGCCTGGCTATGAAGCTGCAGAACCTCCAGGTCACACCAGGCAAGGCCAAGCTGTGAGCGAGCTTTGTTTCCTCTGATCAGCACTTCAAGGACAAATTAGTTGGAAAACTTTATCCCTCCTATTGAATTTTGTTAATCAACAAGTTCCTCCAATACTTTGATAGTGTATTTGATCTTGAGATACAGGCCATAAAGTTTCACTTACAGCTGCTACTTTAATATCAGAACACACTGCGTAGTACTTACAGAGTTATTAATATCCATATTGCTGGATCTTATACACCCATCATGTTTAAGTCTGATTTAAATTCTGAAACATCCAGTGAGTCTTTAGGAGCTGCTTCATATCAAAGATAAAATCAATGTGCCTCTAATTCCTGTCTGTCTGAATGAATCTTGTGGTTTAAAGCCATTTATGGCCTCAACCGTTTTGTTAGATCATTTTGTATAGAATATGTATCTGTATAAGGGCAATTATCTGATTTTTAAAAAATAAATAATTTACTGACAGTAACAACTTCTGATGTTTTTTTCCCCCTTGAAGGTAGTCCTGGTCCATAATTATATTATAAATATAATAATTCTTTATATTTCATCATATTGTGAAACAACATTTTGTATTCACATGAGAGCTACTCTAACAAATAGTATTTTATTTTAGTACAATACTAGGAAAATATTTGAGTCAATAATTTGCAGTTTTACTTACAATAGAAGTTGTGTCTTTGTGCCCCTTTTTAAATTCAGACGTGAATAGAATCTCTTGCATTGACCAGATGCAGCTCCCTGGTGTAACAATGCACCAACAAAATGTTATAGCTAGTTCAGTCAGCAAACTCATGTTGAATAGGTTATTATGTGCATGTAGAATGTGTACAGTATTGATGTTTGGTGTCCAAGGTCTGACCTTTGCACTCCCCGAACACCAAGCTCAACACAGCAGAGTAGGAAGTGACAATAATAACCTCGAAACCTACAGGTGGATGCTGAAGGGGAGGTGAAGCTTTTGAAATGCTATCTGACAATTTCTAAAAAAAAAGATAATATGAATGGCTCATAAATTGACTCTCATGGTTACATGCAAAAGAATACAGAAACTAGGAAGATACTGAGTGAAGGAAAAACCATTTCTTGCTCAAATCCCATACACAAATCAGATTTAAAAGAAAGCATCAGTGCTGTTTGAAAATGGTATTGTCTTTCTCTTTCATGTCCCCATACTGTCATTTCTCTACTAGTTTTCACTGGTCGGACAAACAAAGTGATTTCGGTTGGGTTTTTTTTCAGCCTCCGTGCCCTACTTCCCTCTTTCTCCATTTTCCCTCCATTTGTCTATTTATTTGTGTGTTGGTCCAGACTACTCCCTGTTGGCTACCCTCCCCCTCCCACCCCCCTT